GTACCCCCTGTAGGCATCCAGGAAGCTCATCATTCCATGCCCTGAAGTGGCATCCACCAGTTGGTCTATCTTGGGTAATAGGAAACTATCTTTGGAACAAGCCTTGTTTAGGCTGGTAAAGTCCACGTAGACCCTCCATTTACCATTCTTTTTCTTCACCACCACTGTATTTGATAGCCACGTCGGGTAATTTACCTCGCGGATGGCTTTGGCCTCTAGAAGTCTGTCTACTTCCTCTTCCACTGCCTCAACATGCATCAACGTCAGTCTTCTTGCTCGTTGGATTACAGGTTTGGCCGACCTGTCTATGTTCAGTTTGTGGCAAGTGACCTCGGGGTTAATGCCAGGCATTTCGTAAGGCGTCCAGGCAAATACCTCAATGTTTGCTCTCAAGAACGCCTCCAGTTCTTTTTCCTCTTCTTCGGCTAAGCCTGAGCCGAGAAGGAAGAAGCGTTATTCATCCCCTTGCTGGATGAGGATATTCTTTAGGGCTTCTTCACTCTTCTCGGCTGGCTCCTTGCCGACATCTTCTAGGACTTCCATGTCCTTGTCTTCGATCTCTGCCTTTTCTGGTTCTCATATGCTGCAGGTGGATTTCATTGCTGCCATGGAGCAGTTCTTTGCCTGCAGCTAATCTCCTCTGACCTCCTCTATCCCATGCTCTGTTGGGAACCGCAATAACTGATGCAATGTTGAGGGAACAACCCCCATTGCGTGCAACCATGGCCTCTCCAGGATAACATTGTAAGGGGAGGGTGTGTCGATTATGGTGAATTCTTTCTTTATCTTCTTGGTGCCACCTGCACTTCCAAGCTTGCTGCTCCTAGTGGCCATGTCAGCGTTCCATTGAACCCGACCATTGGGCCATTAAATTACTCCATATCGTCTTGGTGAAGACGAAGCTCCTTGTAACATCTGACATACATGATGTCACAAGAGCTGCCTTAGTCAATTAGGATGGGCTTCACTTGGCACTCCCCAACTTGGAAGGATACTACCAAGGCATCGTTGTGCGGATGTTGTACCATCTCCAGGTCGGCTTCAGTAAAAGACACTGCTGGTCCCTGGCACTTCTCAGCCTGAGGTCTTTTCTGCCGGACCTGGTACACATGCTGCAAGTGCTTTACCTTCTGGGTTTCCCCCCGTATTTCGTTTTCGTTGACCTTTGAGTGAAATACATTAATTACCCGAGGTCCGCCTGCCTGCGGTTGCTGTGCTGGGGGAGGTGGAGCTGCTGGTGCCTGAGGCAGTCTTGCCATCTCTTCCCTTGTCCTGGCCTCATCTACAAGGTCCATCCAATGGCCTTGCGTTACCAAGTCTTCTAGGTGTGACTTCAGGGCTCTGCAACCCTGAGTCAGATGCACATCTTCATTGTGGTAAGCACAATGCTTACCAAGGCTTCTTCCCATAAACTCTCCTGGTAACCTTGCTGGTGCTCTAAAATAGGGCTGGGTTCGGATTTATCCAAGACTTTGTGAATTGGAATTCGGAATACAGTTGTGATTGCCTATGCAGTCCTCAGTCCTATCTCTTGCTTGCTGGATCCATTGTTACCTCGGCCTCGCTTCGGCAAGCCGTTTCCTTTCTCTTGCTTTGTTACCTTAATCCCTGGCGTGTCTTCTTCGACTCTGGCATATTTCTCAATTCTGGCCATGAGCTCCTTCATGTTTTTTGGGAATGTTTTTGCCAATGACTTTCGTAGTGCACAATCATCTTTTAGGCTGTTCTTGAAAGATACGATCACGACCTCTTGGTTGCACTCGGGTATTCGGTTGAACACCTCATAATACCTTGTTGCGTAGGCCCTAAGGCCTTCATCGTCACTGATTCTTAGAGCCATCAGGGCGTCTACCCTTAACGGCTGTAGTTTGTTTGTCACGAACCTGGCCACGAACATCTCGGCCAGGCCTTCCAAGGTCTTCACACTTCCTTTTGGCAATTTGTGAAACCAATCCGATGCAATTTCCCGGCAGGATGAGGGGAACACCTTGCAAAGCAACAGCTCGTTCCCAGTGTACAATGCCATCGAGTTTAGGTATAAACCGACGTGAAAGTTGGGGTTTGACTTACCATCATATATCTGGAACCTCGGCATACTGAATCTTTTTGGGGCCTCAAACTTGTCCAACTCCACCGAGAATGGTGTTCTCGGCTTAACAGGGGAAGTTACCTCGGCATTTTGTTGCTTCCTCTTGAGGTAATCTCTCAAGTTCTCTTTGGTCCACCTAGGTGCTCGGGTATCTCCTGATTTCAATATTTTAGGTGCACTACTCTCAGCTTCGTTGTGAGCCCTTTTCGACCTTTCTCCATCAGTTGCGTCGAAGCACAACTCTTGCCTTTGAATATGCCGATGTTCTCTAGGGTCTGCCTGCTTGGTGCGATGTGTCCTTTGAGATTTTTCCCTTCTCGACTCTTCCCGCCCGACCTCCCTTGAAGACCGGTGATAGTGTTTTTCACTCCTGGTGTGCTGGGGGGCTACTGGGATTGTTTTTTGCCCTCCCTTCTGCGCATTGGCCGCTAGAATCGGCATGTCCTGCAGTGAGAATGGTGGCTGCATAACGTTGTTTTGCATCATGAAATTGACGACCGATTGTAGGCTTGCCAATTTGTTCACCATCCCTTTCATCTCTTCATCCCTCCACAAACATTTATATTTCCATACCTGGAGGTTATCCTCGTTATATTACTCGCTTTGGTTCATTTTCTTTGGCACGTCGCCTTCCTGGCTGGTGTCATTTCCTCCGTGATTCTAAGTACGAGTCTCTTCGTTGCAGTTGTTTTCTTCGACGTCAAGGTCAACAGGTTTCCCACTCCCATTAGGAGTGTCGTCCCCAATCTTCTCTTTATGTCTGTTGTTGGCTATCTATTCTCCTTTCGTTCCCACAGATGGCGCCAAATTGTGTGTGTCAATTTTCGACCACACTGCCAAATTAGTACTTAGCTAGAGAGCACCGGCAGAATGGATTAAGCCCACACGACCTGCAACAGAAAGAAGAGATTCCGGCGGTGGTTCGTCCACCCAGGGGCACTCCGACGATCTAGTCAATTATCTCTCAAAGATAATCAAAGTGCTTAACTCACTATTCAAAATATAAATTGCGTACCTTAGACCCATTGGGGGTGCCTCTCTTTTATAGCCAACTCAATCTTAGTCCCAATAGCTTCAATGGACTTCAGCTCAGTGCTTATCTTGGACTCTCCAATAGATAAAGATAAACTCCTTAAGAGCTTTATCCTTATCTAGGCTGAGGTCCTTCCTCATTCTAGGACTCTTGTCCCTTATCTGCTTATCCCGGACTCTGATATCTTCGGAGATAACTTCGGCATAGCCGAGATAACCTCGACGTCACGACATGGACACGTGACACCCTGGCTGATACGTCAGCGTCACCTTGGTCACGTGTTGGTACTCAGAAAATATATCCCCACAATATATATATATTATACGTGTAAAAAATCATTAGATAAAGAAAATAGAAGATCGAAACAACCAATAAACTATATTGTCTTTTGGGATCGATTCTTAATTTATTTTTTGTTGCCCATTTTTTTTGTTGTTGTCATATTGAAATTTTAATTGAAAGAGTTAGAAGAAGATATAAAATAAATTAAAATAATCCACCAATTTTACCCCTTTATATATATATATATATATACACCGGATCTTATTCAAACTTTTTAGTAGCAACGAACAAAACGAGATTAAAAAAAATAAAAAATAAAAAACTGAGGTAGTTTTGGTGTTTTCGAGTGGAAAATTGGAAAGTACTTAGCATTGAAACTAATCCTACTTACTATTATACAATGTACTCTTAATTACCCAAAATAAATAAATAAATTAGGAGACATGCCTCAAAAATGTAGTTGGGCACTAAAGTTTGACGGGAAATTATTAGATACTCTTAAAATATCATTTGGTTACATGAAATTCTTAACAAATAAAAAACCATAGTACAAATTAAATGAATAATCTTTTTTCCTTAGTTTCTTAACAAAGATTAATCAACATATTTTACCTGTAAAAAACTTTAGTACCTGATTTGAAACATGGTGCTCGGCATCTACTGAATAATTACCCTAATTGGATCCCTTTCTATAGTCTTTCAAATAGTCCTTGGCTAAGTCCTACGCAGATATTGTAGATGGTTAGTGGATATGCTCCTCACGTTTAACTCTTGTCAGCTCGTTCTATATACCCGAATCATATAATTAGAGAGTGTTGTTTGATTCTTGAATTTACGCTCTGAAATAGACAGGAAGAATGTTACGTAGGACGCACCTTTTACTTAAAAAAATAAGAAGGTTCATATCTAAATCAATTCTTGTCCTGCACAATTAATCCAAGTTAACGTCAGGCATTGATAAATTTAAAAAAAAATGTCTCACTAGAAGTAGACATGAAATTTAAATATATTAAAACTCAACATTAAGATATAATTAATTAAACTAAAATATCTACAAAATCATCAAATCTTTTTTCCACCGAAAGGGAGATAGAAAATTATGTTGTTGGGGTCACTTTTTATCTGCATGCGTGGACAATAATTTTTACAAAAATATAATTGCATTATCAATTGGACCATGTGTTTGAATTGTATATCTCTACAATGATTTATTGAGAAGTAGATGGTAAGTAATGATTTATCATTTAATTTTTTATATCAAATTTATTTGTTATTTAATATGATGTTTTACATGTTATCAAAGAGTGCGATTTATTGCACTAATATATTGATGATTTGATACAAAATTACTAGGATATATTATATTAATCTCTTTTGAGGTTTACAAAAAATATAGTAGGTTTAATAGTTTTAACATAATTATATTAGACTCATTTAAAATTTTAATTTAGGTAACACTTAACACCTATTTTTTGTGATTATCTTCATCAAAACCAAATAACAAGAGAAAAGACAAAAACAAAGTGTACATGGTTTTTTTTTATTAAATTTTCTGCCAAGAAAATATTGTATTGCTAATAATAATAATAATGGAATTCAATGTAGTCCAAAATAGTGTAATAAACTCTTATTGTAATATACCTGGGGAATTTTTTCATGTCTGGTGGGAGTGGGAAAGGCGTGTGTGTGCACGAGTACCATCCACCATGTATGGAAATGTTGTTTCCATGCTTTGAACCCAGCAAGATCTACGAAACTTTTACCCATATATGAAAATATTGTTTCCGCGCTTTGAAACCATATAAAAAACATAAATAAAAATAAAGGGATTTGCGTTATATTTCTTACTAGCAACTTATTGACCATAGATTGATGCTTGGTTAAACTTGATCTCAGATTAAGCTACTGTTATGGAGGTGTAATTCATTTATGAATTGAGTTAGATTTTGTTTAGGTATTTATCAACCTTATTAGTCTAGGGGTCAAACATCCACCTTGGAATGTTACGACATTGCTCAAAATTTAAATGTGTAGTATAGATTTAAACCTTAGTGTTATATTATTAAATAGGCTACACCCAAGATTAATCTAATTCAAATTTTGCATATTTTTCTACACATTTTTTGTAAGTTTGTAGTATTATTGTCTCGTGAATGCCAATAAGAAAGGTAATTTACCCGAATTGGATGTCTAGTTTGAGCACCTCATGCTCGCCACGTCAATATTTTTTAAAAGGTAATAGTTCAAATTTTATCTACCTATTTCCAAACCCAATTTTAGATCCAACAAAAAATTTTCAACCCAATATTTGATGGGTTAATAAGTCAACAAAACCTAAAACTTTGATTTACAAAAAAATATAACGTAGGTGGCATAATGTGTTGGGCTGAACTGTTATACCCGGAATGTGGACTAGAGAGAAATAAATTATATGGTGCAAGTCTTTGACAATTTGAAGTAAAAAAATAGTAGTAACAAATCAATGAATTAATAGAGAGACTCACAGAATCTGGTGAGAATTCCAGAGGATAGAATAGGAGTGAAAGTCCTCAGTGGGATCAAACCAAAGCTGGTGCCTCATCTCTCGGTTTCCAGTTCCATTCTTGTAAACGTTGGTCTGAATGAGGTACGGCTGCCCTGTGAACTTATTAAATGCTACCATAATCAATTGTCAATTAAAATCAAATATAAAGTGATTAAATTCATAAAATCACTGACAATTGGGGATATAGCATTTCAATGCTTTCTTCAACAGCATATGTATTACATACATATATATATATACACATACAGACCACTATATTCATATGATCCATGATCCATAAAATCTGTTACAGTGCTAGTGCTACACATGTATATATTATATATATGCATTGTCTAAAAAATCTGCAATCTTCTTCAACATTGGTGTTTGGTTGAAGAAGTTGAAGGGGAGAGTCGAGATCCGAAGTTGATTGAAGCCATTGTTGGAGAGAAGAGAGAGAGGGGAGACAGAGATTATGGTTTGATTAGGGTTTGATTTAGAAAATAATATATATATATATATATACATAGGCTGCAATCTTCTTCAAACAATGGCAGTTGGTTGAAGAAGATGAAAGGGAGAGTCAAGATCTGATGTTGATTGAAGCCATTGTTGGAGAGAAGAGGGAGAGGGGAGACAGAGATTATGGTTTGATTAGGGTTTGATTTAGAAAATAATATATATATATATACATAGGTAGTTTGCTCATTTTATAAGGCATTGTTCTTATGGACATAATAAATTAATGCCTGGACTTTGGATAAATCAAATTCAAAATTGAATTTTTCAACTGAACCCTTTTTTTAATGACTTCCTAAATGCATTAACTAAAAAATCCAAAAGGCAAGTATTACCAAAATTATTTTGTTTATTCACTTGCAAATGCAAGTGATATTATTATTTTTTAAAGTTAAAACAATTAATCAACTCATTTAACAAACAAAAAAAAATGGAACTTGAACTTCGGTCAGGTAATCCTTAAATCACACACAATATGTAGTGATTTAAATTGCATATATATACATCGTGTATACTAACCGTTAATATATGTTAAGAGAGCACAAATTAACAAAATCTTAAACCGCAAAGTCAGAACTTCTATTTCATATTCATATCTCAGCCTTCAATGTTTGTTGAAACCTTGTACATTATTAAAATCAATGAGTTGACTTTCAATAGTTTGTAAATTGTATATATATATATATATAAACTGAAGACATGTATGTAAAGATTATAAGCACTTTCCAACATCAATCAGTTGGTGTTTTTCTCTGTGCAGAAAGAGGGTGTCAATGAATCCCCAGCAGTTCCTCCTTGTATGCCTCTCTCTCTTCTTGCCATTTTTTACACATCTCTCTCTTGCCGATGTTGGCACTGCTGCCAGCTATGCCCCACCATACATACGTAAGTACCCACTCCACAATTACAATCAATCATTTACAAATCATAACCAATTCTTTCCACAATCAAACCCTCTGTCTTTTAAAAAGATGTAAACGGAAATGGATTACATAACTCAACACAATTGTCTCACATGAATGTGGACTAGAGAGAAATAAATTATATGGTGCAAGTCTTTGACAATTTGAAGTTAAAAAAATAGTAGTAATAAATCAATGAATTAATAGAGAGACTCACAGAATCTGGTGAGAATTCCAGAGGATAGAATAGGAGTGAAAGTCCTCAGTGGGATCAAACCAAAGCTGGTGCCTCATAATAAGCTGTCACAACACCAGCAGAGTCACCTCCCACCAACTTGAGCTTCATGCTGAACCACCCAAATCTGTATCTCTGCTTTGTTTGAAACCCACAACCTATTCAAATATTTCCATATTCAATCTCATGTTTTCATAAACAAATTCTTCAATGCATAAAGTAAAACATTACATATACATGGCACGGGAGGTCAATGTAATATAAAAATTTAAAGCTTCAGCTTACTTACAGGGATTTTGCAAACAACACCGAGCATGATCCTACAGCACCAGATACAATGGCATAGGAAAAAGGAAGTAGCATTTGCCAGTAGGGCTTATCCACAACTTGTCCCCAACGTTATCCACAACTCCTTTAAATCCTATTCAAAAACAGACCAAAAACAAAAACAACTACCGATATATGTATGTGTGTAACCAAGATAAGAACAACCCACAAACAAACAAATATCTTACAAACCCAAAACCAACAGCAAACAAATACAGAGTTGCATAACATAAACAAAGAAAAAGATGAAACTTTTACCGCAGATCTTGATGGGGGCTTCGAGCTCTAAGAGATTGGGTTGTTGGAGGAAGATTTCTCTCGAAACGGTGCAAAGCTGATGGATCTCAGCCTTGGAGAGCTGGACCTGGACCTGGCGTACACTCCTCACCTGCCGAAACTCCAAAAGCCGATTAATGATGTCATCAAGAACGGCAGGGTCCATCCCCTGCCCATTTTGCGCCATCAAACCTCTCTCTCTCCCTCCCTCCCTTCCTCTTCAATTAATTCTTAGGGTTTCACAGAAAAAAAATCCTAGATTCCCAAACACAACGAGAAACAAGGGGTGGAAGATTGAACGACGAGAGGTGGATCGGAGGCAGAAATTAGGGTTTGAAGAGGATGAATAAGAGAGAGAGAGAGAGAGGGCGGGAAGGAGACGAGATCGATGATCCACGAGATCGATGATCTTTTCTCTCTCTCTCTCTCTCTCTCTTTTCTTTGCCTGGTTGCCCCATCAAAGACTGAACAAATTGGGGATTTTGGGTTTTGGGGGGGAGGGGGAATGGAAAACAACAAACAGATTAGGGATTTTGGGTTTTTGGGTGGTGGTGGTGGTGGTGGTGGTGGTGGTGGTGGTGGTGGTGGTGGTGGTGGTGGTGGTGGTGGTGGTGGTGGTGGTGGTGGTGGTGGTGGTGGTGGTGGTGGTGGTGGTGGTGGTGGTGGTGGTGGTGGTGGTGGTGGTGGTGGTGGTGGTGGTGGTGGTGGTGGTGGTGGTGGTGGTGGTGGTGGTGGTGGTGGTGGTGGTGGTGGTGGTGGTGGTGGTGGTGGTGGTGGTGGTGGTGGTGGTGGTGGTGGTGGTGGTGGTGGTGGTGGTGGTGGTGGTGGTGGTGGTGGTGGTGGTGGTGGTGGTGGTGGTGGTGGTGGTGGTGGTGGTGGTGGTGGTGGTGGTGGTGGTGGTGGTGGTGGTGGTGAGTAGTGGATAAGAGGTGGTGGTGGTGGTGGTGGTGGTGGTGGTGGTGGCGAAGGAGATTAGTAATGAAGTTGTGATAGTGGTATAGGAGATGGAGTGGCGGTGGTGGATGAGAGGTAATAGTAATAGTAGTAGTGGTGGTAGTGGTAGTGGTAGTGGTAGTGGTAGTGGTAGTGGAAGTGGAGTGGTGGTGATGGTAGTAGTCATGATAGTCATAGAGGTGAAGTGGCGACAGTGGAAGTAGTGGTGGTGGTGGAATGGCATTTGCAGTAGTGGTGAATGTGGTAGAGAAGATGGGTGGTGAGAGAGAGATGAGTGAGAGACAGATAGAGAAGAGAGATAGAGAGAGAGAAACAGACAGAGACAAAGTAATGAGCGAGATAGAGACAAAGTGGTCGCTAAAAGTGTATTTTTTTGTAGTGGAGAGCTCGGTAAATAGAGAAGAGATGAGAGAGAGAGTGAGCAAGGTGAACACAATGGGGAAGAGAGACAAGTAGATAGACAGACACATAGAGAGAGAGAGAGAGAAGAGCGAGAGACAGACAAACAGACACAGAGAGAGAAAGAGAGAGAGAGAGACAACAGTGATGAGTGAGAGAGAGAAGAGAGGTAATATTTTGTGGTAGAGAAGAGGAACTGACAGTAGTGGTGAAGGTGGTGGATAAGAGATGATGGTAGCGGTGGTGGTGGTGACGAAGGAGATTAGTGGTGAAGTTGTGGTAGTAGTAGAGTAGATGGAGTAGCAGGGGTGAAAGAGAGGTAATGGCAGTAGTAGTAGTGGCAATAGTGGTAGTGGTGGTAGTTGAGTGATGGCGATGGTAGTAGTAATGGTAGTCGTAGAGGTGAAATGGCGACCGTGGTAATAGTGGTGGTAGTGAATTGGCATTTGCAGTAGTGGTAAAGGTGGTAGAAGGTGGTAGAAGAGATGAGTGGTGAGAGAGAGAGATGAGTGAGAGGCACAGAGAGAGAGAGAGAGAAAAGAGATGAGAGAAGAGATAGATGAATGAGAGACACAGAGAGAGAGAGAGAGACAAATAGACAGACAGAGAGAGAAGAGTGATGAATGAGAGAGAGAGAAAAAATAGAGAGAAAAAGATGAAAAAATGGGTGAAAAGATATAGACAAAGAGAGAAACAGAGAGAGAGAAAAAAAAGAGCGAAAAGAGATAAACGAGAGAGAGACAGAAAGAGATGAGCGAGAAACCGAGAGAGAAAAAAAGAAGAGAAACAGAGAGAGAAGATAGATGAAAGAGATAGAGAGAAGAGAGATGGACGAGAGATACAGAGAAAAAGAGAGACAGACAGACAGAAAAAAAATGAAGAGTGAGAGAGAGAGAAAGAGAAGAGAGACAGAGACACAGAGAGAAAGAGAGAAACAGACAGACAGAGAAGAGTGATGAGTGAGAGAGAGACAGAGAAGAGAGACAGAGAAGAGAGACAGAGACACATAGAGAAAAGGAGAGACAAACAGACAGAGAAGAGTGATGAGTAAGAGAGAGAAAGAAAAGAGAGACAGAGAGATAGGAAGATGAAAAAATGAGTGAAAAGAGAAACGTTCAAAAGAGTAAAAACAATGCTTAATTTTTTTTTATTTTTTTATGAAAAAATGGGTGAAAAGAGAAATGTTCAAAAGAGTAAGACGACGTCATTTATAGTGGATCGATAAATCGAGAAGGAGCTCAATAAATAGAGAAGATGGGAGTAAGAGAGTGAGCAAGGCGAACATAGTGAGGAAGAAATAGACAAGTAAAGAGAGAGAGAGATAGAGAGAAGAGTGATGAGTAAGAGAGAGACAAGGAGAGAGAGATAGACAGAAAAAGAGATAGAGAGAAAGAGAGAGATAGAGATAGAGGGAAAGATAGAAAAAGAGAGAGAAACAAGAGATGAGCGAGAAATAGACAAAAAGAGAGAGAAATAGAGCGAAAAGAGATGAGCGAGAGAGACAGAGAAAAAGAGCGAGACAGAGAGAGAAGAGAAATGGGCGAAAGAGATAAAAAGATAAGAAAGAGAGAAAATAAATGAGAAAGATAGAGAGAAGAGAGATGAACGAGAGAGACAGAGAGAGAAAACAAACGAGAGAGATAGAGAGAAGAGAGATAGGCGAGAGACACAGAAAGAAAATGAGAGAGAGAAACAGACAGATAGAGAAAGAAGAGTGATGAGTGAAAGAGATAAAGAGAAGAGAGAGAGATAGAGACAGAGAGACATAAAGATGAAAAAATGAATGAAAAGAGAAATGTTATATCAAAAGAGTAAGAAGACATTGTGTTTTTAAATTTTTTTTGCGACAGAAAAAAGTACTAGAATTTATTCAAACCATTTTGTGACTGTATATATATGAAGCTGTCTCAAAACAACAATCACTATGCTAGGTTAGAGTTTTCCAAAAACTCTTTTGAGAAAATTATACTTTCTTGTGTTTCCGTGTTATATTGTTTTTACTGAATTTTTTTAATATTTTAAGTATTTTTTTTTAATTTTTAGACACACCTAACATAAATACACCTAAAAATTAAAAAAAATTGAAAAAAAATATTTTAAAAATTCACTAAATACCAAAAATACAATAATTCAATACATTTTTTTTGGTATTTTTATGTATTTATTAATTTTTAAAAATATTTTTTCATAATTTTTTTTT